AATCTGTCCTCACTCCTCACTGATCCTTCCACGTGCAACTTCTTATCAATGAACAGCTGGGGAGTTAATTATTGTACAGGGCGATGATATGTTGGAGAAGGGAGTTCCTGGTTTCTTTGAGGTGGAGTTAGGAACTCCATCTCACTTCACCGAAAAAGTGTTGTCTATTAGTACTAATATGGTTAATTAATTATTTATAAAAAAAACTTAAAAAAATAAATTAATATGATTCTTAAAGTATTTTTCCTATAGAAAACTTTTTAAAAGCGTACCGTCTAGTAGTTTGGGAGACGTGTGTAAGGAAGACGAGGGTAGAAGTTGGAGAAGTGAGAGAAAGAACATAAACTTTGGCAGTTTAAAGTATAAGAGTATCTCCAACAGCCTCCTTATTCCACTCTCCAAGTTAAATTTTAGCAATTTTGGATCAAAAACACACTTCAACAGCCTAGCTAACTGGCTGGCCAAGCCATCTAGCTGGCCAAACTTCTCCCCGCGCTGGCCAACTTTGGCAAGCCAAAAGCGCCTCTCTAATCGTGGGCCCCACGCGTTTTTCCCACCCTCCGCCCCCAGTGGCCAGTGCCGAGGCCACCGTCGTCGTCGTCGCCGGGGGCGCCATCGTCGTCGTCGCCGTCGCCGTCGTCGTCATCGAGGTCGCCGTTGTCGAGGTCGTCGTCGTCGGGGTCGTCAGGGCCGCCATCGTTGTCGTCGAGGTCGTCGTCGGGGTCGTCGTCGAGGTCGTCGAGCGCCGCCTCCCACCTTGTCCGCCTCCCGCCTCCCCACGCCTCCCGCCGTCTCCCGCCTTTCCCCGCCGCTTCCCGGCCGCCTCCCCACGCTGCCCCTCCGGCCTCCGCCGCGCCGGTGCCCAACCTCCGCCAGCGCCGCACCTCCGCCCCACTGCCGAGGCCACCGTCGTCATCGTCGGGGGCGCCGTCATTGAGGTCGTCATCGGGGGCGCCGTCGTCGAGGTCGTCGTCGGGGTCGTCGTCGAGGTCGTCGACCACCGCATCCCACCTCGTCCGCCTCCTACCTCCCCGCGCCACCTCCCGCTGCTTCCCGGCCGCCTCCCCACGCAGCCTTCCGCCTCCTAGCGCCGCCTCCCACCTCCCAGCGCCGTCGCACCACCGCGCCATGCGTCGGCTGCCTCGACGGGAAGGAAGGGGAGAAGAAGAAAAGAGAAAGAAGGGGAGGAAGAGAGGAAGAAGAGGGGAGAGGAGCTGACATGTGGGTCCGATTTTATTTGGAGAGGATTAATAGAGAGTCTGTTGGAGTGAGTATCTTTTTTGACTAGCCAAATCAGATGGAGAGTTGGCTATATGGGTGTTTGGAGAGTTTGATTTGGAGAGGCTGTTGGAGATGCTCTAACGGAGGTAAAGATTGGTTCAAGATTGATCATTGTGAAACTTTGGCATCAAAAGCTAACCCAAACTATCTATTTTGTTTGACTATTCTTGTTCCATATAATCTAAAAAATACCAGTAGAGGTTATCGCTAATTAACTTCTAATTGAGGTGATATATCTTTTATCCCAAACCTCTAACTATTCTCTATTTAGATTAGCCAGAATATATAAGCTGGCTTTTCCATAGTGCGAAAACTCATTAAGCATATCCATCAGTCTAATTCATATGCAAAATCTGTACCGTCATCTTCAAACTGATTCTTCAGTGATCGAATTGGTTTCAAAAAATGTGCACCATGAGCCTTTTGCTTAACCTGCACCAAAAGCGATGTGGTGAAAACTTTACACAGTTTAAGCAAATGATTGTCCTATCTATGCACACATAAATCATGAATGAACAACAATCCCAGTTCCTAAAATTAGGTAGGAATAAATTTCTTCAAGAGTAAATTTCACTTAACCCAAAGCATTGTGGTCTGGTTGCACAAAATTAACCACGGGGCTTTTGACACGTGTCACTTAACCCCGAGTATTATCGCTATAAAGTTTTAGAAAACACACTATTGATCATTTTGACTTTGATCTGCTAAGCTTTTAAGTTCAACAATCACATTTTAAATTTATGAGTTTTTCATCCACCATATAAATGTTACAGTGTGCAAGTAACGTTTTTTAAAATTTTAATATAGGAGTATGTAAAAATAGTTAACAGTTTGTTTTTATGAAATTTTAGTACCATTATACTTAGGGTTATGTGTTAAATTTCGGTGATTTTGTGCAACTTAGACTGTAATATGTGAAGTTTTATTGATTTTACTCTTTCTTCAAACATACTATAATATTTCCTCCATCTCATAATAAGTTCGTTTTTTACTCATCTCATTTGTCCTAAAATAAATTCATTTTTGAGTAATCATTGTATCGAAATTTTTGAAATAGAAAATACTCCCTCCGGTTTCATAATTCTTCACGTTTTGGACAAATGGCATGGTTTCTAAAATATATCTTTTGAATTTATTTTCTATTATAATAAATACAATATTTTATATATGTTGTTCTAGTTTCTTTAAACTAGATAGTTTTAAAGTTGTTAATAATTAAAATTATAAAAAATTGACCTTAATTTTGTCCAAGACGTTAAGAATTGTGGAACCGGAGAAGTAATTATTTTCAAAGCTGCTAAAGTGTGTAATAATTGGATTGGGATTTGTATAAAGTAGGGTTTTTTTTTCCGTGCGGGATGGGTTAAAAATGAAATAAAAGTTGGACAAAGGGAGAACATATCCGATCTTCACGAGGAGTTGAAAAGTTTAATCATGTGATAGTCATACGTGGCGTAAACAATATATGTTCATAATATTAAATGTTCGGATCCACTACAGGTTTAAAGCGTGTGCGGTGTGCATACATATATGCATGTGCAACCCACGCGCACGCATGTACCAAGTATTCTTAGCAGAACATATGACACATTTGATCCTCGATACGCAGTATTAATATAGTAGGATGCGTTTAGGATAAAGTTTGATTAAACTTTGACAGTCATTAACTTCTCCAATGCTTACTCTGAAAATCGATGTGTAACTTTTTAAAGTGTCATGTTCAAAAAAAAAACTTTTTAAAGTGTTGCCATTTTATTATTATGTTTTTGAAGAAAGGGCGGGCTATTGATAGAGTAGGCAGGGGCGGAGCTTGGGTGGAGAGAGGGGTGCCCAAAAATTTGGTTAAGAAATTTTTTTAAGTATATTTATTTTCATCATATATGCACCCTTCAATCTAAACTCAAACACTCATATCAGTTTAAACTTGGTCTAAAATAGAATAAATTAAGCGAGTAGCACCCCTCTCCATTTCATTCTGGCTCTAGGCTTGAGTAGAAGTTACATACAAGAGCAATTTTACAGTCCTTAAGAAGGTATCATGAGATACCACTTTTTCTATTATAATTTTATACCTCTTGGTACTTAGGTATTATAATGTACCAAATTTTTCGCTAAATTTTTTTACCTCCCCAAGTACTATAAGATTGCTCTCCAGACAAACTAGGTATGTACGTGCATCGATACATGCATGGCATGGAGGCAAGGACCCGTGCCTGCAAAAGACTGCTAAGTTAGGAATAATTAACTTTTCGCAACTCTTACAAGTGATGATAACAGATTTGCCACTGGACCCACATGCCATACACATATGAGGGTCCACATGTCATAGATAGCGAGTGACAAATCTGTTATCATCACATTTTAAGAGTGGCACATAGTTAAACCCGTAGATTAGTGGCCTCCGTTTTTTTTTCAGAATTGCAAGTAATTAACATGGTTTTTTTTCATTTATTTTAGTGAAGGCTTAAAAGATAAATATTTTTTTTCTTTGGGTACCCTCTCGGTGAGATGGCGACCTTGTGAAGTGACGAACTTGTGTTTGATTTTCGCAGTTGCATTTGTATCTAACGGCCGGCATTGTGGAAGTGAGGATGAGATTGATCAACGCAACCTACTCCTATCACTCGACACAAAGGATTAGGATGTATGGTGGATTTAGAACTACTGGAGCCGGCGCTATTGTGGAGCCTAGTGACAAAGATCTTTCGTATTCCGCAACAATTTTACAAGTTTTCCAGATTCAATAATAAAGCATTCCAACAAACAGAATCCATGCTCATCCAGCCGGCCAGGAGCAATGACAAAGCCTCCGACACCGCTAAATCTAATCGGCTAATAGCGTTTCTCCATGAGTTAGGGCATTATTGGTTCCATGGGCTAAACATTAGTCCCCACCTTTTAGCTCTAAATTAGCCCTCAAGGATCTAAACAGATGGGCTAATTTTTGGCTAAAGTGAATTAGCCCCCCTCAAAACATTAGTCCCTCCAATGGGTGCTAATGGGGCTAATTTTGTGTAGGGACCATCAAAAAGCAGCTCTCTCTCCCTCCTCTCTCCTCTCTTTCTACTCTCTCTCTCTCCACCTTTTAGCTTTGAATTAGCTCATGGATCCAAATATACCACTCTAGGCTAATGTTTAGTCTACCAATTCATGACTAAACATTAGCTCTCAAAATTAGCCCTGGGCTAATCTTCCAAACAGAGCCTTAATGGCTAATGCCTAATAGTGGTACATGCTCTGATCACTTAGATCCCATTGGTTAACCTAACAAGTAAAAGCAAAAGCCAAAATTTGAACTTTTAAATGTGATTTCTAAGTTGGAGTAAAAAGGCAGAATCTGAACATTTAAACTTGATTTTTTAAGTTGATTTTAAGACATTTTAAACATAACTTTTTAGCAGTAGATTTTAAGTCACTATGAGTAAATATATAAAAGGTTTACATATATGGGCAACTGATGAGGCTCTCGATATACAGCAGGTAGGTAAGGTTTCGCTGAAATGGCTAATCAGCTGAGTTTTTAACTCATTAACATATTCCCTTGCATTTTGTAGTTTGTGTTACTTGGATGATCTCGGATTTTCCCCTTTTGTCTCTAGCCGGATGGCCATTAGCTGACTTGACCAGAAATCGGCCATGTCATGATCACATAATTAAGTACTAATTAACCCATATACCAACCTATGGAATTCCCAGTGCAGCAAAACCGGTCGTTCAAGGCTTCAAGCCCAGATCCAACCTCAAAAATCTCTCCTGCTTGACTTACCACTTCTCACTTCATTTCACGTAAATCCGTCATCAAATTTGCACTATATATATGCTTGGTTTGAGCCACATTTGGCAGACAAAACCAACCAAAAAAAACCATAGTAGTAGCAAAGTTTGCAACCACGCACAAGCAAAAGAAGATACTTCACTAGCTTTCTACGTGCATGCAGCAACATGAAGGTTAAGGTCGAGAGCTCGAGGATTGTCAAGCCGTTGTACGACGCGGCGGCGCCGGCGCCGGAGTGGATGCCGCTGAGCGTGTTCGACACGGCGACGTACGACGAGAGCATCGCCATCATCTACGCGTTCCGGCCGCCGAACCCGCCCAGCGCGGCGATGGAGCTCGGCCTGGCGCGGACGCTGGCGGTGTACCGGGAGTGGGCGGGGCGGCTCGGCGTCGGGCCCGACGGGCGGCGGTCGGTGCTGCTCAGCGACGCCGGCGCGCGGCTCGACGAGGCCGCCGTGGACGCGCCGCTCGCCGCGGCGGCGCCGTTCATCATCAGGAGGCGGCCGTCGCCGGAGGTGAAGCGGCTGCACCCGAGCGTCGACGGCGCCCCCGCGGAGGAGGAGCTGCTGCGGGTGCAGGTGACGCGGTTCTCGTGCGGGTCCATGGTGCTCGGCGTCGCGGCGCACCACCGCGTCGCCGACGGGCAGGCCACGGCGGGCTTCCTGGTGGCGTGGGGGCTCGCCACGCGCCGCGGCGGGCTGCTGCCCGCCGTGGGCGTCCCCGTCCGCGACCGCGCCACCCGGTTCGTGCCGCGGGACCCGCCGCTCGTCGAGTTCCCGCACCGCGAGACGGAGTACAAGGCGCCGCCGCCTCCGGCCAAGATCAAGAGCGGCGTCGCCGGCGAGGACGACGACGACGACGAGCTCGGCGCGGCGCCGGCGCACGACAAGATCAAGATGCACAAGGTACACTACACCAAGGACTTCGTGGCGCGGCTCAAGTCCCGGGCCTCGTCGGGGCTCCCGCCGTCGCGGCGCGGGCGTGGCTACACCACCTTCGAGAGCCTCGTCGCCCACCTCTGGCGCGCGGTGACCGCGGCGCGCGGGCTCGGCGCCGCCGCCACCACCACCAGGGTCCGCATCGCCGTCAACGGCCGCGCCCGCATGCGCCCGCCGGTGCCGCGCGACTACTTCGGCAACCTGGTGCTCTGGGCGTTCCCGCGCTGCGACGCCGGCGAGCTCGTCGCGCGCCCGTCGCACCACGCCGCGGAGCTCATCCACCGCGCCGTGGCGGGCATCGACGACGCCTACTTCCGCTCGTTCGTCGACTTCGCGTCCTCCGGCGCCGTCGAGGCGGAGGGCCTCGTCCCCACCGCCGACGCCGGCGAGGTGGTGGTGTGCCCGGACATGGAGGTGGACAGCTGGCTGGGCATGAGCTTCTACGACCTCGACTTCGGCGGCGGCTGCCCCCTGTACTTCATGCCGTCCTACCTCGCCATGGAAGGCACCATCTTCCTCGTCCCCTCCTTCCTCGGCGACGGCAGCATCGACGTCTACGTGCCACTCTTCGAGAACCATCTAGAAGAGTTCAAGAAGATTTGCTACAACATCGCCTAGCTTTAGTTACTAGCTATACTTGCCACTAAAAAGTTAATCACAAAATAATACTGCTTAATAAAGGTATAATTAATAATAGCAAGACTAATAATATAACCGGCTACTTATTGTATAGATCTTTATAGTCTATCTCTCAACTTACTCAGATAGTGGTTAACTCTTTACTATAAATATATGGTCCACATGTCAGTCTCACATATTTTTTTGATTCATGTGCCTAAACCGGTTGTATGCTTACAACTTGTTTCTCTTCTTTCTCCTCTTCTCTCTCATCCACCTCTGCATTCAGGTTTCTTATAGCTCTCGCTCTAAACATCAAACTTTATTAACAAGAACAACAAAAGTACTCTTCTATCCCAAATATAAGTATTTTTAGACTCTTACACGGTCTCCGAGATGTTACTTTGACCAACAATATCTATAAAAGTAAATGTTTTAAATAATAAGAGTTGCATATTATGATAATTTGTTTAATAATAAATCTAGTAACATCAATTTTACATTATTGATCTTTTATTTTTTTGCTATTAATAGTTAAAGTAAAAATTTTTTGACTTATTACTATGCTAAAAATGCTTATATTTTGGGACGGATGGAGTATATAAGTATCTAAGAGATCCTACTAGCTAGCTACCCGTGTGTCACTAAGTCACTTTGTGTAGTAGCTTAATTAATTAGCAAGAAATGATTCACCACGTACATATTACTGTTGTGCTTAATATTACTTAATTGTTGTTTGGTATTTTGCATGCATGCATACAAGAGTTACGAGAGTGAGAGTTGGACTGCTAGCTTGAATCAGCTTGAGTGAGTTTTTGGATTAGGTAGGTAGGGCCAATTCCATATGATTATACTAGCAGGTTTTGTGTGATAAAGTAAGAAAAAAAATATGTCGTACTCGATCACGCAAGGTCAACTTTTGCGTGTGTAGATAGAGACTACCAATTAACTACGCGCAATAAGAAAATCAAGTTTGTCATTATATCTATAAACATGTACAAGAGATAATGTTAGGTAGCTATATCCTCCATAATAACTGATTTATTAGAAAGGCGGCTACGTTACACCTAATTAATCCTGCTTCGTTATGTGCCACCGCCCTGTTTCTAAATTAACAACTTTAGTTTGCATCCCAAACAAATATGGGAATATTAGGAAATGATCTAATATCAATAATTAAAAGGAGTGAGGATTTGAACCCAGATCGTCTAGCCCACTACTCTGTGGAGCTAACCAAAAAACCCCTGAACGTTTCTCATTTGCATTCGAAACAAAGGATTGTAGGAATATGAATCATGCCAAGATCAGGTTGTCAATTTCTGAGCAAAATTTTGTTAATTCTGATAGTTTCACCCCCTACATACAAGCGAATATGTCACCCGGAATTTTTGGTTTTTAATTTCCTTTAAAAAAAATTGGTCAAAGCTTATTAAAACTCAATCAAATTTTGTTGAATTTGCAAATAATTTCTAGCAAAAAAGTATAGAAGTTACTGATTTGTTCGTAAATTTTGGCGCATAGAGATTTTGGCCCAAAATAAAATTTATAACCATAATCTAGATTCGAAGAACTAGATTGAGTAACATTTATTTCTATGTTACAAGTATGAAGGTAATAACTCCTAATTAAAGTTTCATCGCTTCTGTTTTCATCCCAGCTGATCGATCGAAGCTTTGCTCTTTTATCTTGCTATTAAAGTGTTACGATCTTTCTCAAGGGAATTTCGTCGAACACCTTGCGTGGAAGAACGGGAAGAACAAGGGAAGCAGATAGGAAAAAGACAGAGAAGCAAATGAGCAGGAAGAGGATTTGTATTAGATTGAGGGATAGTTCTGTGTACAGATTTCTCATTCGTTACCTCTTCCCACTCACGCCTGGGTATTTATAGACACATACCCAAGACCCACTTTCAGACCCACTCCGGCCCAGTTACACGAGTGTTGGGCCGTCTCTCTCTAGCTGAGCGTCTGATAGTCTTGATAGGGTTATCATCAGCTGTAACATGCCCCCCTTCTGGGCAACCGGCTTGTCCCCAAGCCGGCACAGTTGGAAACTTCTGCTTCAGCACAGCAAGATCCTCCCAAGTAGCATCAGAAGACGATTGCCCCATCCAACGCACCTTAACTTGCTCCACAGCAGCCGCGCCACGCTTGTACAGACGACGAGCGATGATCTGAACTGGAATCAATTCTTCAGACTCAACAAGAGGAAGAGGCCGAACTGCAACAGCTGATTGTGGAGGTGAAGCCTTGCGGAGCTGAGATACGTGAACGACAGGATGGATAGCACAGTCGTAAGGCGGCTGCAAACGGTAAGCCACCGGACCAACACGCGCCGTCACCTAAAAGGGACCAAAATAGCGGAAAGAAAGTTTGTTGTTAACACGCGCAGCCACAGATGTTTGCGCATATGGCTGGACCTTCAGAAAAACCCAATCCCCAACAGCGAAGACCCGATCAGAACGATGCTTGTCCGCTTGAGATTTAGTCCTTTGTTGTGCACGAAGATGGTGCTGACGCAAGAGATTAGTGATGATCTGACGCTCTTGCAACCATTCAGTCAAGTCAGGTACCGCACATTCAGCAATATAACGTACACCGAAGTGGCGAGGAGGATGACCATATAAAGCTTCAAAAGGAGTGGTACCGAGAGCAGAGTGAGGAGTTGTATTGTACCAAAATTCTGCCAACGCCAACCACCGAAACCATTTACGCGGGCAAGCATGGACAAAGCACCGAAGAAAGGTTTCCAAGCACTGATTCACGCGCTCCGTTTGTCCATCAGTTTGAGGATGATATGCCGAACTCATGCGCAACTGAGTATCAGTCAATTTGAACAATTCAGACCATAAATTACTGGTGAAGATACAGTCACGATCTGAAATCATAGATTGAGGCAGACCATGAAGCTTGTACACATTTTGCATATATGCTAAAGCCACATCAAAAGCTGTGAACGGATGAGCCAAGGCAATAAAGTGTGCATAGCGAGAAAACTTATCCACAACCACCAAAATGCAGTTGAATCCCAATGAGAGAGGTAATCCTTCGATAAAATCCAAAGACACCACTTGCCAGGCATGTTCTGGGACAGGTAATGGCTGAAGAAGTCCCGGGTATCGCACCCGTTCTGCCTTAGCTTGTTTACACATAGAACAGGAATCCACAAAGAGCTGCACCGACTTCTTGAGACCAGGCCAAGCAAACAGTCTGCGCAATCGGGTATAGGTTACCTGCACTCCAGAATGGTCACCAACAGCAGCATTGTGCAATGCTCCAAGAACCTTCTGCTGTAGTCCCACATTATGGCCCAACCAAATGCGCCCCTTGTAACGTAATACTCCATCTGTTACACTAAAATGAGGAGCTGATTCTGGTTGCAAAAGTACTTGAGAAAGCAAGCTGGATGTATGTGGGTGACTAGCATAACTGTCCCGAACCTCATCCAACCAGGAGGGAACACACACAGATAAAGCACTTAACTGAAGAATCTCAGGAGAGTCACAGCGCGACAGAGCGTCAGCTGCCCGATTCTCAACACCTTTCCTATACACCAGTTTGTACTGCAGTCCAAGCAATTTGGTGAGTGCTTTTTGCTGCCAAAGGGTAGCAAGACGCTGATCCCCCAAATGAATAAGGCTTCTTTGATCAGTACGGATGATAAACTCCCCAAATTGTAAATATGAACGCCAATGGTCCACTGCCAATAATATAGCAAGACATTCCTTTTCATAAGTCGACAACCCTCAATTGCGAGGCCCAAGAGATTTACTAAGAAAAGCCAAAGGGTGACCACCTTGCATCAAAACAGCTCCCACTCCCCGGTCTGAAGCATCAGTTTCAATCTCAAAAGTTTGAGTAAAGTCAGGAAGTGCAAGCACCGGTGCCGAAGTCAAAGCTGCCTTTAACGCATCAAAAGCAGCTTGATGCTCGCTAGTCCAAACAAACACGACATGCTTCTTTAGGAGATCAGTAAGGGGACGGCTGATCACCCCAAAATGGCGCACAAACTTGCGGTAGTATCCTGCTAAGCCCAAAAATCCGCGCACTTCCTTCACATTTTGAGGTACTGCCCAACGAACAACAGCTGCAATATTCTTAGGGTCGGTGGACACACCCGCATCACTAATGACATGCCCCAAATATGTGAGTTGTGAACTGGCAAAGGTACACTTCGAGCGCTTAACCTTCAATTGATGTTGAGCAAGCAGTTGGAACACTGACTTCAGAAGCAGCACATGTTCAGCCATTGTCTTACTGTAAATCAAAATATCGTCAATGAACACAAGCACTCCTTTGCACAATAATGGTGACAGAATGGTGTTCATGAGTCATTGGAAGGTAGCCGCTGCCCCAGTCAAACCATAAGCCATTACCCGGAATTCGTAATACCCATTGTGAGTCTTGAAAGCTGTCTTGTGTTCATCTTCCAGCTTCATATGGATTTTATGAAAGCCTGCTCGAAGATCCAAACTAGTAAACACACAAGCACCCAACAATTCGTCCAACAACTCATCAATAATTGGAAGGGGATATCTGTTCTTGACAATAATAGCATTCAAATGATGGTAATCGATACAAAACCGCCATGTCCCATCCTTTTTCAGTACCAAAAGGACAAGAGAAGAAAAAGGGTTGGCACTGGGCTGAATTACACCTTGTTGCAGCATCTCACGTACTTGCTTTTCGATTTCATCTTTTTGTGCTGGGTTGTAGCGATAAGGATGCAAATTGACAGGTTTTGCACCCGGAAGCAATGGAATAGAGTGATCAAACACTCGAGATGGTGGCAACCCTTGTGGTTCATCAAAAATAGACTGAAATTCGGTTAACAGGGCATCAATTTCAGGAGGTAAGGCAACCTGAGCTGAATCAGTGCTGACCATACACAGTTCGACAGTTTGTACAATGGCATTCCGGTGTAGCAACCCTTGCACCTGAAGTGCTGAAATAACCGGACAAGTATCCACCCGAGACTGAACTCCCTTAAGAGTAACAGGAGAACCCAAGTGTTGGAATGATAGCGTTTTGTGTCACCAATCCACTTGCATAGGGGAATGATCTTCCAACCAATCCATTCCAAGAATTACCTCATAACAACCCAGTGGCAAAAATTTCAAAGTTGTAACAAAGGACTGCCCTTGTACCTACCACTGACAATTCCACAATTCCCGGGAACAACTCAGTACCCCTCCATCAGCCACTTT